AATAAATGAAAAGGAAAAAATTAATTTAAGAAGAAAGGAGAGAGGTATAGTCAGATAGATTGACAGATAGATAGACAGATAGACAGATAGATAGATAGATAGATAGATAGATAGATAGATAGATAGATAGATAGATAGATAGATAGATAGATAGATAGATAGATAGAGAAAGAAAAATTATTAAAAATCAATTGCTTGTTTAATTAAAAAATTTCTAATTATGAGTACTGATATAAATACCCGATCGATTTGATTTTCAATTAATAATTTGGTAAAAACAAATTCAATGATTTTTCGCGACACCGAGATGAAATGATCTATGGGAGAGGGAAGGGGGAGATTGTGGGAGGAAGGTTGAGGAAGAAAAAACAAATCAAATAAATGTCTGGAAAATTGTCAAATGACGGATTATAATTTTGTAGAATAATGTATTATTACGTTACTTGCTAATGAGACTTTATTTTTGCAAAGAGAAAAAATTCCTTTGAAAATAGCTGACGAGAAGAAAGGTATCTTGATAAATAAAGAGTCAAAAAAATAAAGAGAGAGAGAAAGGGAGAGAGAGAGAGAGAGAAAGAGAGAGAGAGAGAGAGAGAGAGAGAGAGATGAGGAATATTTCATAATGAAAGAAGAAAAAGAAAGAAAATAGTAGTAATAGAAGAAGAAGAAAAAGAAGAAGAAAAAGAAGAAGAATAAAAAATCAAAGACTGATAACGAATTCAAAGATAAAATTAAAGCAAAGAGGTTTTGATTAATAAAGAATGAGGATGAATGGATGTACGTCGAAATGGGAAAAAATAAATAAGAGAGATAGAAGAATAAAAAGAAGAAGGAGAAGAAGAAGGAAGGAAGAAAGAAAGAAAGAAAGAAAGAAAGAAAGAAAGAATGAATGAATGAATGAATGAATGAATGAATGAATGAATGAATGAATGTATGAATGAAAAAATGAATATTATAAATGGTCGAATATAATACAGACGGATATTTATGGGGGAAGGGGTTTTCGACGGAGGATCATTTTTCGAGAGAATTTTGTCCTGAAATTTTTTATACATTCTCCTTTCGATAAATATAGAAATAAAAAAAAATATACATATGCAGAGATAGAGAGAGAGAAAGAGAGAGAGAGAGAGAGAGAGAGATAGAGAGAAAGAGAGAGAAAGAGAGAGAGACATAAACATAGAGTGAGAGTGAGAGAGACAGACGACAGATCAGACGACAGACAGACAGACAGACAGACATACAGATAGATAGAGAGAAAGAGAGAGAAAGAGAAAGAGAGAGAGAGAGAGAGAGAGAGAGAAAGATCAAAAAAATAAAAAAATAAAATAAGAAAAAGGAAGTTGAGTATAAGTATACGTGCGGAGGACGCCCCGTGCAAATAAATAGAAGGTGTTCGTTTTGATCGATATAAAATTAACACACATTCAGTGATCATCATCCCCATTGTGAAGAAACGAGCCGATCTTGGACACTGCCAACAGCCAGCATGCTACACGCTATCTCTCTCTTGCGCGCTTGCGTGTATATAGATGACAATCGAACAGAATATATATATATATATATATGTATATGTATATATATATATATATGTGTGTATATGTGTGAGAGAAATTCAATAGTAAAATGTACAAATAGATGAGTTAATTATCTTTCTTGCGTTTGAACAATAATTTCAGAGATTGATTCGATATTGATTATTTATATCAATAATTAATATTATTATTATTATTATTATTATTATTATTATTATTATATATATATATATGCATATATATTAATTATTAAGGTTAATTATATATGTATATATTGTATGTACGATGAATAGTAATATAAAAATTTTCCCTCTAATTCAATTATCTTTTACTTTTTCCTTTTTTCCTTTTCTTCTTTTAATTTTCTTCTTTCCTTTCTTTCATATCGAATAAAATCTCGTCCATTCGTTCGTTATTTATAAGCGCGAGAAGGATAAATAATAAATAAGAGTATCTCGTGTTATGTGCTCTGTTCACACAGACAAAATGTGCGGTGCGTGTGCAAAGTGGATTACGACGCATTCCTTGCTTGTTCTTTTTCTTTTTTTTTTTCTCTTTTTATTTTTTCTTCCTTATTCTCAATATATTTTTTTTTGTTTTTTTTTTTTTGCTTTTTTGATTTTTTCTTTTTTTCTTTTCTTTTTGTTTTTTTTTTCCCCTTTTTCACGAACTCTTTCAGGCAACAAAATTCGACACAATAGCGAGTGTGCGTGTCCGATTTTGACAGCGTGTATACATATTGTGTGTATCACAGTGATCTTTCATCTCGATCATTAAAATGCAGAGACGTTCGGCTAAAGTTCAAAAAGCGAAGGCTGATCATACGTGCGATCGTAGACAAAAATTTAGAATGAATTCAAAATATGGAGATTATTGGAAATGTAAATAGGAAGATTATAGGAAATAAATATAGTAATAGAAAAGGTAATAACATTATATGGATGGAGAAATACATGATTAGAGAATTCATTTCAAAATTGTTTAGGGGATTCCATGTGTCGGAGACTTAGTGATTTTATTAGATTAGAAAGAGAGAACGAATAATCTTCGTACGTTCTTTTTCATATTATCCGAGCTCTCGATCATTAATTTAGGAAGGAAAGAGAGAGAGAGAGAGAGAGAGAGAGAGAAAGAGAGAGAGAGAGAGAGAGAGGGGTAAAGGGGGGAAGAGAAGAATAAGAGAGAGAAAGAGAGAGGAAAATAGTTAGATAAATAAATTGAAAGACAGATAGATAACCGGATGGTAAAAAAGGTTGGGAAATAGGTAATTAGAATTAGTATTGAAAAGTATAATAGCATGTGAGAAAAAAAAAAAGAAAAATAATGAGTGTGCATTTTCTACAGAACACGTGGGACTGGCGTGCAGGGCTCTTCTCTGTTGCCAGTTTTTTTAATTTTTTTTTCTTTTTTCTTTTTTTTTCCTTTTTATTAATCTTTATATATACATATATAAAGATATATATATATATATTTATATAAAGTATAAAATTGTATATATATACAATTTTTTTTTTTAATCGAATCAGAATAAGCAGCTCGTATGTGCAACACTTTCATTTCGCCACCAGTAAAAACATGGGCGTATGAAAACGTAAAAAAGTCATACGCACGTCTGTGTATGTATATAATAATAATAATAATAATAATAATAATAATAATAATAATAATAATAATAATAATAATAATAATAATAATAATAATAATAATAATAATAGTAATAATAATAATAATAATAATAATAATAATAATAATAATAATAATAATAATAATAATAATAATAATAATAATAAATGTGTATTTAATTAATAAATAGATAATGTGTTTTTGAAAAGAAAAAAAAAAAAAAAAAAATAAAAACGAACACAGCGATGTTCAAAGTTTCTCACAGGTCATCGAGTATGTCTACTATGAAACAAATTTACAGCCACCAGCCATGCAATTTGTCGAAGAGGCTATAAGAGGGAGAATTGGATAAACGTAAAAAAAAAGAAGAATGGAAACGGGAAAGAGAGAGAGAAAGTGAAAGAGAGAAAGAGAGAGAGAGAGAGAGAGAGAGAGAGAGAGAGAGAGAGAGAGAGAGAGAGAGAGAGAGAGAGAGAGAGAGAGAGAGAGAACGAAAAGAAAAAAGAAACTTTATTGTCGTGTTAATTCAACAATAAAGAACGATGGTAATGAACGCACGAACGAAAATTAATAAGGAAAAGAATGAAAAGTAAATCGTTAGAAAGGTCAAAGGTGAATGGAAAGAAATGATTGAATTAAGAAAAGGTTATGGGTTGAAAGAGAAAGATAAAGAAAGAGAGAGAGAGAGAGAGAGAAATAGTGGGAGTGAAAGAGACAGAAAGAGATAGTGGGAGAGAAAGAAATAAAGAGAGAGAAAGAGAGAGAGAGAGAGAGAGAGAAAAAGAGAAAAAAAAAGAAATGATTCGTGGGAAGTAAGAAAAATCGACACAGCTGTGTACACGCAATTTTGGTAATAACATGGATGACAATTATACAGAGAACAATCAAAGAAAATCAGCAAGCAAGAACAACAATGTCCTCGTAGAAAATGTAAATGTCATTATTTATAATCACACAGGAATCTATCAAATATAAATTATATTAATATTACGTTGCAATATTACGTACGCTTTTCTCGTACACCGATTGGATAATTATCATTATTATCCAAGATGAATTCATTATTCACGTTTAATGATATTCGTGATTGATAATATTATATTGACGTTCGTATGCTGCTATGTTGAATTGATTATAAAATTTACCAATGTACCTATTTATTTATTTTAATATGCTACGAGGAACGGATAATATACCGAAGAGGATCGAGAATTAATAGGGGCATAACATACTAAAGTGGAGGGTGAGAGGTTAAGTCAAAAAACGTTGGGGGAGGGATTTGTTAAAGGGTCGAAGAGGTCGTGGAGTAGGGAGGGGGGTGGGGGTGGAGATTAGGGTGACGGTAGATTTGAGGGTATAGGGCTTGGCGTTGTTTTTTCTTCTCTCTTTTTTTCTTTTCTTTTTCGACGTCTTTTCTTTTCCTTTGGCAGTTTTTTCTTTCTCAAATTTTTCTTTTCTCTTCTTTCTCTTTTTGACGCGAGTTGTTGACGAAAAAAGAAAAAAGAGAGAGAGAGAGAGAAAGAGAAAGAGAAAAAGGAGAAAAGAGAAAAAAGAAAAAAAAAAAAAGAGAGGGAAAAAACAAAAAGTTCAATGAGTCTATCTCGTTGGTTGGGATCAAAGAGAAACAACAACATGTCGGATATCATGTGATCTTTTCTCTTTTGCTTTCTCATAGAGAGAGAGAGAGAGAGAGAAAGAAAGAGAGAGAGAGAGAAAGAGAGAGAATCAAATGCAACAGGGCCAGGGTCGTATCGGGGCAATGGGCCAATGGGGCATGGGGCAGTGGGGCAATGGGCGAAAGGGGGGTATTGGGGTGGAAAAGTTACGGTTCGTAAAACTTACCTTCATCATTAGCAGTAATGTATTTAGTACGATGAGTATCATGATAAAATATTCGAACGGTGTCGATACGACTATCCTCCAAATTTTGTACTTTACGCCGTTTAGCTTCTTCGGCATGTACCTCTCAAGGGGGCGAGCTTGTATCGTAAAGTCTATACATGATTTCTGCAAAAAGAATGAATGAAATGTTTATCTATTTATTTTTATTTCTTTCTCTCTCTCTCTCTCTCTCTCTCTCTCTCTCTTTCTGTCTCTCTTTCTTTCTTTTAATAGAGACAAATATAATTTACTGTTATCATAATAACCTGATTTTTATCGATCTCGCCATCCTGAAGCTCGGCTTCTCCCTGCTCTTGAAACGTGATGATAATCAAGGCCACGAAGATGTTGACGAAGAAAAATGGAAAGACGATGAAATAGACGATATAGAAAATGGACATTTCGATGCGAAAGTTTTGAATGGGACCCTGGTCCTCGTAAGTGGCCGCCATCGAGTGCTGCAAGATTTGCGGCCAGCCCTCGCCTGTTTGGACAGCGAATAACGTCAGCATAGCTGCCATAACGTTGTCATAATGAAAACATTGAGACGTCCACTCCCTTTTCTTGGGTTCTGGCAGCATGACACCCTCCTCGTAGACGAAGTATTGACCCCTATGAAAAGGAACGAATATTGTTTAATCTAATTCGTTTAATTATAGGATCGTTCGTACGAACGTCTTTTTAATATCACCGACACAAATTATTCCTCGGATATAATATGGATATTATTTTATTAGGGCATGTATTTTTTCTTTTTTTTTTCTTTTTTTTTGAAATTGCTACTCACTGGCAGTCCTTTTTCGTATACTTGCTCTCGTCGCTGCAGTGAAAGAATTTTCCGTTAAACAGTTGTACCGCGATCACAGCGAAGATGAATTGGAATAATATATACACTATGAGAATGTTTATGACATTTTTCAAACTGTTCACGACGCAGTCGAATACCGCCTTGAGCTTGGGCACTCTTTTTATCGTCTTAAGCGGTCTCAACACACGTAATACCCTTAACGACTTGATCGTTGAGAGATTTTGTCCCGCTGAACTACCGGTCATGTCGAAAGCGAACGACACCGCGGCGCATATTACGACCACCGCGTCCATAATGTTCCAAAACTCGCGTAGATACGAGCCAGGATGTAATATGACCCCGAGATCGATGATTTTCAGGATCATCTCGATGGTGAAGACACCGGTGAACGCGTAGTCGAAATAATTGAGGATCTCGTTCCTCGGCGAGTGTTCCCATACAGGATCCTCGGCGGCCAACGCGATACTCGACAATGATATTACCACCATGATGAAGAAGTCGAAGTACCTTAGATTGACGACCCAATGGGCGGCTCTTCTTACGCTAATTAATGAAAGAAAGAAAAAAAAAAGAGAAAATAAAAAAGAATTTATATTAGTATTATATACATATCTAAATATCATTAATGTTTTAATTCATATATATATATATATATATATATATATATATATATGAATTATGTATATTATATTTAATTTATATATATATATATATGAATTATGTATATTATATTTAATTTATATATATATATATATATATATATATATATATATATATATATGTATCCATTTTGATACTTACGGATTCGTAGGGGATAGTATAAACATGGAGGAGTATGGCAGCATTGGTTTTGGTCCCGTGTCATCGTCTTCATCCTGCTTCTTCTCTTCGGACGCCTGTTTTCCACCTTTACCGTCTTTGCTAAAAATCATAAAACACATATGTAATCTATATTCTCTTTCTTTCTCTTATTTTTTTTTCTCTCTCTCTCTCTTTTTCTTTCTCTTTCTCTTGTTGTTTTTTTTTTTTTTTTTTTTTTCATTTTTTTTATCTTATCGATTTAAAATCACTCACAAATTCTGATTCGGACTCGGAGGGCAGATTTCCACCTTCGGTGCGTTACCATCGTTCGGCTTTTGCAAGGATTCAATTTCCTTCTCGAGTTCCTGTAATTGTTTCTCCTTGTCCTCCTCCTTCTCCTCGTCCTCGGCGGCGCTCAGCTCCTGGGCATTAGCCAAATTATCGACGGCGATAGCCAAGAAGACGTTCAGCAACGTATAGTTGCCGAAGAGCACCAACACGATGAAATAGAGCGAGTACATCATGCCTTTTCTGTGACCGCCCTGTGACTCGATACCATAGTACATCACCTCATTCCAGTCTTCTCCAGTAAGGATCTATCAAATTTATAACATTTATATATCAAATATATTCACTTTATATGTATATCTATATATATATAATATATAAAATAATTATTATATAATTATTATTATATTAAAGATAAAAACTTACTTGGAAGACAGTAAGCAGCGCGATGGGAAAAGTATTGAAGTTTGTTGGTGGCGTCCCGGAATCGAAATTGAACTGGCCACCGAAGAGCTGCATTCCGAGCAGCGCGAATATGAGAATGAAAAGGAAGAGCAGGAAGAGAAGGGAAATGATACTACGCATCGAGCTGAGGAGCGATATTACGAGGTTCCGCAGGCTCTTCCAGTATTTGGTGACCTTAAAAATTCTCAGGAGTCTAAGGGCACGTAGGACGGAGAGGCCGAAAGAGCCGGACTTCACCGCGGACCAGATCACCTCGAAGATCGAGCCCGAGATGACGACGCAGTCGAAGCGATTGAAGCTCGACTCGAAGTATGTGCGAGGACCGAGCGCGTATACCTTTATGAACATTTCCATCATGAACAGGGCAAGGAACACAAACTCCGCGTAATCTGAAATTAAATCGTATTAAAGTCAATAACAAATCATAACGCTTGATAAAATAAATCGGTATTGTTTTTCTTTCTTCTTTATATAACACATTTTTCTTTTTTTTCTCCTTTTTTTTTTTTCTTTTTTTTTTTTCTTTTTTTTTTTCTTTTAATTAACAAATTACACAGCATAGCACAGAGATTCTAAAATCCGCGTTGATCGCGTTTAAGTATTAAAATATTATACATCGTACTATTAACGTATGTAATTTTATAGATATTCATTAGAAGTGTATTTATCACTGCTAATAATAATCGAATGAAAAATTCAAAGTCTATTCAATTATAGATCGTACAAGAGAATTTACCGTCTGATTTTTTTTTTCAGTTCGTAGAAGAAAAAAAAAAAAACAAGGGGCAAAAGAAAAAGCAACAAACAAAAAACGAGAGAGTTCAAAAATTTGATACACTTTTTTGAAAGTCGATCGCGGCATATAAAAGTTTACGAGGCATTGATTTAACAAGTTGTATAACAAGTTATAATAGTTTGATTTGATTTATTTCTTTTTTTTTTTTTTTGTTTTTTATTTTTTAATTTTTAATTTAAGCTTAATTTTTTTTTAAATATATAACATGTACATATAAATTTTATATTTTGTTCGTCTCCGCACGCGCGCGCGTGTGTATGCGTGTATGTGTGTATGTGTGCTTTTTGAAAAAACGTAAATTAGAAAGTTATAAATATTGAAAAAATTTAAACTTACAGAGAAAATCGGTAAGCCACTGTGGCTGATCGTAATGCTCGACGGCTACGCAAACGGTGTTGAAGAACACCAGGACGATGACGAACCAATAGAAATTCTGCGATTTCACGGAATTACGTATCCAAAATCTGAATCTCTTTTCGGCTCGCCAAAATTGCATACACGTTCCTTTGTTTTTCACTTTCGACTTGAAGTAGGAAGCTCTTGAGAATCCTACAAAGTATAAGTTGAAAGAATTATTTTTTCGAACGTTTAAATATATAATAAATAATTATATTCGACGTTGTTTTCACGTTTTTCTTTTTTCTTTCTCTTTTTTTTTCTTTTTCCTTTTTTTTCTTTTTTTATGTTATCTTATAAACCAGTCGATTGAGATCTTTCTCTGCTTACGATGGATACGACCTATTTCAATCTATGATTCAATTATGAATATATATGTATATATATATGCAGGTAATAAATATTATGTACAAATTTCTGAAATATGCGTTTACTATAATTATTCGAATTGGCAAAGATTTTTTTTTTGCATTCCTCAAGGAACCGCAAAATACATATATATATATACAATACGATCAATGGTGATCGTGAAAATTCTAAATTAAATTTTATTAACGGAATATAAATTGCAATAATTTTATGAGAAACGTGCAGGATCGATCTTTAGTAATAATAATGACTTTATGCAAAAAGAAACGTCGTTTTCTCTCGTCTTACTAAAGGGGAAGGGAGGGAAAAAAAAATCCGGCTAAAAAAAAATTATCTGCCTGCTATAACAGAGCTATAATATTTTATTAACAAAAAATAAGGAATTGACTTTATCGATCCGTTCGAAAGAGATCCATCTTTTCTTATAAAATAAATTTATATTTTCGACTGGGAAAAGATCCTTCCACTATCGTGGCTAAGCCATTATACGATACAAATACATATAAATCTATTCTAACAATAATATAAAGATAATAATAATAATAATAATAATAATAGTAATAATATCAATAATAATAATAATAATAATAATAACAATAATAATAATAATTATAATAATAGTAATTAAAGTCAAAATAATAATAATAATAATAATAATAATAATAATAATAATAATAATAATAATAATAATAATAATAATGAAATACTCTACAAAGCAGAAATCACTATAATTGGGTCAGAGCAATGCGTATAAGATACTAATTAATTACTAATATATTCAATGTATCCAGAGGCTATCTAATTGATAGAGCCAAACAGTATATTATCTATTAGGTTAGGATCTTGCATAAATATGATCTACTTTGTAATGACAACTCCTCCTTTTGACAACACTAAGTATTCTACGTTGCTGTCACATGATTTTAGCTAGCTAAGTATAGTATATTAAATAAGTGAATAGTGCTGTGATAATCAAAGTAAATAAAGAAATGTAAACAAAAAACAAAAACAAAAAAATAAAAGTAGAAGTAAAGAGAGAAAGAGAAAGAGAGAGCTCTAGAGAGAGCTCTACGTAGAGCACTAGAGAAATAAATTAATTTGTACCCCACCATCATTGATCATAAGTACCTGAATATGATATTTTACATGTGAGCGAGACAAAACACACTCGTTCGATTGATAAAATAAAATAAAAAAAAGAAAAAAAAAGAAAAAAAAAAAGAAAAGAAAAGAAAAGAAAAGAGTACTAAGAGATCGAGAATAAAGACGGAGAGAAAGATTTATATAAGATCGAATGATCGTTCAATCGATCTTTGCGAGTGTTTCGTATTTTTATAAAGGAAAAAGAAAAAAAAAAGAAAAAAATAGAGAAAATAGGAAAAGAAGAAGAAAAAGAAAAAAAAAAAAAAGAAAAGAAAAAAGAAAGAAAGGAAAAAGAAAAAGAAAAAGAAAAAGAAGGAAGAAGAAAATGATATAACATATTTATGTATATGTGTGTCGTCACACCAGCCAATAGAAGAAGCATTATTACCTAGAAAATAAAATCAATTAGCCGTATCGGAATTCACCGAGCGTGTTTTCTGCCATATTTCTCGAGCTTAACGAGATATATTTTAAAAAGGACAGAATTGTTGGAAAAGGACAGAGACGATTGTCTAATATATATATTAAATTATATAATATAATATATATATATATATATATATATATATATATTATCTATTTTTATAAAAAGAAATTCTTATTTATCTATATAATATTATTATAACAAAAAATACACGTTTAATGATAATGAGAAAATTACTGCTCTATCATGCTATCTGTGCACTCCACAGCTTGAGGCTTGCAGCGATATGTATGTATACAATAGAGTATAAAAGATCTATCTACATGGACGATTAGGTTTCGTCCAGGTGTCGAAAAGTATGCTCTGCAGCAAAGTCGATTACGCGCCAGCATACATACTTATACGCAATAATGTTAATGAAATATGTATGTATGTATGTATGTATGTATTTATGTACGTATGTGTGTATGCATGTATGTATGTATGTATATATGTATCAGATTGATGTAGATAGAATATATGCGCGTGTGTAAAACTGAGAGAGTGATTGAGAAAGAGAGAGAAAGAGTGAGTGAATGAGTGAATGAATAAGTGAGTGATTGGATATATGTATGTATGTATATACGTGTGTGTGTGTGTGTATGCGTGTGAGTGTGTACATATGTATTAGTGTACATGTATATGTACGTTCGTTATGTAAAAAAGAAGATGAAAGATAGTGTATCAAACGAAAACACAAATAAACAAACAGTGACGTAAAAATATACAAATACAGCCTTTGATATATTACGTTGCTCTTTACGACAAGTCGAGGCATTCACGGTTGTAGTTACCTTTGAGTTTTTTCTTAGGCACTGAAACAAGAGGAGCATCTGATAGCGTACGTTTAGAATGTTCATCGACAATATCATGGGAGGTTGGAGTATTGTTCTTTTCGATGCAATAAATATATATAGACATACATTAATAACGTGTCAACAATATGTTGGTGAATATGAAATATGCAAACGTGCCAATAAGTGAATAAAATGCTGATAGAAATTCAAGGATATATATATATATATGTACATACATACATACATACATATATATATATATATATATGTATGTATGTATGTAGAAGATACGAGCTAGCGCTTCGCAAATCGATGAATTTCTCGTTCGATCTTTTATATTTCTTTTACTTTTTTTTTTTTGATTATATATATATATATATATATTTTTTTTTTCCTTTATTATCTTTTACTTATTTGTTTCTTATTTTATTTTATTTTATTTTATTTTATTTCTTTTTTTTTTCTTCTTTTTTCTTCAACTTTTTTGTCATCCTTCGTCAGCTTTATATCTTTATAAATCAAATTGGAACATAAATAGAATTTTATTTATTACTTCGTAGATAATCTTAAACGAAATTCGTCGAACGAGGCGCCTGCCCGTTACTACTTAATAATCATGAAGAATCCTTTTATCTACTGATAATAAATTCGTTTTTCATATATAAATATAAATATATATATATATATATATTTTTATTTATATAATAAATGAAACGTCATATCATTCGAAAATATCACTTTGTAGAATAAAATCAATGGTTGTAATAATAGCAATAGTAATAGTAATAATAATAAGAATAAGAATAAGAAGAATAAGAATAAGAATAAGAAGTAGAAGAAGATGTAGAAGAATAATAACCTCAGTATCAAAATAGTCGAAAGAAGACAATACTTTTACAATTGAAAAAGAGTATAATAATAAACGAATAGGAAAAATACAACTCACCATCGTCCTGATCGTCCTCGGCGTCTTCCTCCTCCGTATCGGTGCTCTTGCTCTTTCCAAGATTCTTCAATTTTTTCTTCTTCGCCGCGGCTCTTTTTCTCACTGCACGATACGACAGAATTTGTCAAAGATAAAGGAATAAAGGGGAAAAAAAAAAAATGAAAAAAAAAAAAAAAAAATTGAAAATTAAAATTCCTAAATAAACGATGATTACTACTCGATGACGAAGATCAACGAAATTATTTTTATTAATAATCAATGTACACTACTAACGTACCTATATATAAATCTATACACGGTGACGTAAGTATTAATAAAAATAGAAAAAAAAAAAAAATGTATAATACGTATATAGTACGAACCTTCTAATATGTGCATTTTTTCTTCCTCCGTGGTCCTCTCTTCGGCGAGAATTACCTCTTCTGAAATCGAATTCGTTATTACGATCACTATGAATCTCCTTAAGAAAAAAAAAAAAAAAAAAAAAAAAAAAAAATGATAAATAATATCTCTTTCGACTATTTAATTTCAATTTAATAAGCGGACACGCGCATTTTATAATACTTATCTACGCCGCGTCGATACAGACTCTTTTTCTTCTTTTTTTCTTTTTTCTTTTTTTTTTTTCTTTTTTTTTTCTTTTTTTTTTTGTTATCTAGCCGATATCTAAATGACGAGAAAACTAGTTCACTCTTCTCTGGCTTAAACGAAAACGAGATTTACAGAAAAGTCGTAAAAGCAAGTGGATTAATCCGAAGTGAATGCACGTCCGATGGTTACCAATCGTGTAGCATCTCTAACCTGCTTTGCAGATCCAATTGAGGTAGCAATTCAGTTCGCGCTCGAGCTGCTGTTGTCTTCGCAATTTCAGGAAGGATTGCCGGTTCTCCACCTTCTCTCTCTCCTTCGCAAACTCTCTACAAGCGTAGCAGCAAAGGTTTGATAATACATATGCCAGTGTACTCGTCGAGAGAGATACGTCGCTTTTTTTCTTTTTCTCTTTTCTTTCTTTTCTTTTTTTTCTTTTTTTTTTTTTTTTTTTACTTCTTTTTTCTTTTTTCATTTTAATATTTTTCTTTTTCTTTTTCTGGTTTTCTTTTTTTTTTTTCTTTTTTTTTTTCTCTTTCATTACCGTAGCACATGGAACAAGACGGGGGGGGGGCGATTAGGCGGGGGGCGATGGGTAGTAAAGAGAGTCAGAGGCACGGCTACGTAATACTATTATTTTAGGTTGAATAATTTTTTTAGCTTAATCACTGTGCTTACGATATCGATCAATTGATTATATCCAAGCGACCAATCAAAATACGTGATAAGAATGGATCATGAGTATACATAATACATACATGTATATATATATTACGTAAAATACTTTACGTACGTGTATATATATATATATATATATATATATATATATATATATATACGTAAATACGTATATGTGTACGTGTACTTCTATCAATGATAGCAAATCGGATCCGAAACGATATAAATCGATTACCGTTTACTCTCAAGCTTACTCTCAACTCAAGCCGTTTACTCACGCGACTCCGTTATATCTAATTATAAGCGATACTCTTTGTACAATGTATATATACATATATATATATATATATATATATATATATATATATATATATATCAAAAGCTATAGAAAAGAACAGATCCGTTAGTGTTGAAACCTGCTTGAGTGATCCATTTTAAGTAGGAACTGAATGCTGTGGTGAAGAGACGTTTTCGCTTTGCTTTCTGATAAGCCGCCCGCCTCTCAACGCGCGTTCTTTCGTTAGAAAACTCCCTAACGAAAAGATAAGAAATGGATTTTACTTCTTTTCTTTTTTTCTATCTCTTTCTTTTTTTCTTTCTTTTTTTCTTTTTTTTTTTTTTTTTTCCTTTTTTCTTTTCCTTCTTCCTTTTTTTCTTTTATCTCATTTTTCGCGTGTAACACGAACTTTATTTTTTATATCACGCATATAATATAAATGTATAATAATATTTTATATATACGTATTACAAACGATTATATTTTAAAAGTATATAATCGAACGTAAGAATTTGTTTCGTTTATTAGACAAATTGGATGATACTTACCCGCTCAGGACACCAAGAACTAAGTTCAGCATGAAGAAGGAGCCAAGGACGATCAATGGTATAAAGTAAATCCAGTTGTACGTGCTTCCAAGAGCGTCGTTTGTCTGCAAATTTGACCAGAGCCACGTGAAGCCGGTATTACATGTGCGAGCATGGTGCACCAGATACACAGCTGTACGCATATCAATCAATGACAAAAGAACATTATGCGACATAAAGACATTGAGACATACGGAGATCTTGTTTCTTTCTTTTTTTTTTTTATTTTTTTTTTCCTTTTTCTTTTTTTTTTTTTTCCTTTATGCTTTTTCCTTCTTTTTTCTTTTTCTTTCCCCACTTCTATCTATCCGTGAGAAACATCAATGGGAATTGTCCTTTAACGCGCGAGATATAATAACAAACTTTAGAGAAGGGTGGTAGAAAAAAGGGGCGTATGGCGGGGGACAAAAGGGGGATGAGGATTGTTGGTGGTGAGAGAAGGGGCAGGAGGGGGGGGGGAAATTCGTTAATACACCAAGCTACATATCGAGATACGGATGGCGTACATTCATAAAAAATTCGTATCAATTAGAAAAATTTGCAAGAAGCTATCGGAGAA